CATTACATTGCAGTACATTACATTACATTACATTACGCTACGCTACATTACATTACCTTACACCACATTACACAACATAACATATGCTAACATTACATTACATTACACTACATGCATCCATCCATCCAGCCATCCATACATACATGCATACATCTGTATACAAACACAGACACCTCTCGATCGACCCTAGACAATATAAAACCTCTGTTAAAAACCGCCTATAACCCTTTTATAGGTTTTGGGGTCGGAGGTGCAGGCTGAAGAACGTGTCAAGTACTACGAAATTCGACACGTTGCAGTGACCTCTTGTCACAACATGCAGGCTGCAACCGGGACCCTGACCCTAAAACCCTACAACCCTAAACCCCTAAACCCCAAACCCTAAACCCTAAACTCTAAACCCTAAACCCCAAACCCTAAACTCTACACCCTAAGCCCCAAACCGTAAACCCTAAAATCTGAAAGCCAAGCTCATCGAGTCTCCACTCCCAACCCTGGAACTCCACATCTGAAGGCGCCAACACAGTTCCTTTACGAGCTTAGGGGGGTTTAGGGTTTAGGGTTCAGGGGTATAGGGGTTTAGGGTTTAGGGGTTTAGGGCTTGTTGGGTTTAGGGTTTAGGGTTCAGGGGTTTAGGGTTCAGGGTTTAGGGTTCAGGGGTTTAGGGTTTAGGGTTCAGGGTCTTTAGGGCTGGTAGGGTTTAGGGTTTAATTCGGAAGTCTAAAAAAAGCCCTGCAAGCCCAAAGAGCAAAAGGCACGTGTTCTCATTGCCAACGCGTTCGGCAGTCTGGGAGGTTGCCACGAGCCAGAACCAAACCGCCAAACGCTGGCCCTTGGGTTGTCTTTAGGGCCAAAGGGTCTAAAATTTAGGGTTCAGAACTAATGTAGGGGCCCTAATAATTAGAATAGGGTTTTGAGGGTTCACTCTTATAATTATAGTGTATTACACCCCCTACTTCCTGCTCTCATTATTAAGGCCCCTATATTCAAGGGTTTTCGATTTCTGGTTTAGGGCGCAGGATTCCTGGTCAGCCGTGCACCCCAGCTTCTTCTGGCGTTCTACTGAGGGTGACAACCTACATATCTGATCTTCGTACCCTGATACTAAAAAAGTTAAGGTTTAGGGCTCAGGTTTTTCCAGAAATCACTCTACAAACTAGTTAATATTAAGAATAGTACACTGCTAGCAATTACACGGAGACAAATCTTCATGGACGACCATCATTGGAGCGGAAATCCGGGAAGATGCGGTAGGGACACGCTCTGACCACACGCGCCCAGAGGTCAGTGCACCAATGCTTCAAGACCTGGGGTCAACACACGCTTTCTGGGCGAGAGGGCATATGTTGCACATGTGGGTAGCTCTGTCAGTTAGGGTCCCTTTTCTGGTCCCCAAAATAGGGCACAATTGTAACAAAAGGACCCTAACAAGGGACCCTAACTAAGAGAACTACCCACATGAAACTCGCATCAATGCACTGAGACTCGAACCCAGGGAGACGTGCGATGTTGCTGTAGTCCGAGGGAGGCTCCGTGAGTTTCTGCGAGGCTACCATGATCTCCGGCATTTCAGGCCAGCAGGTCTAGCAGGCGACATCAGAAGCGCCTGGCTCTCCTCCATCCATAAGGTCCTCTTTCTTAGATTGTGTCATCACCCAGGGGCTCCACATATAGTACCATTATGGAATTAGGTCCCCAAAGGTTTTTACCGACGCATGAGACCTCCTAAACCTGCCAGAGGTTGCTGCCCCCCGGGAGCTTCTTCAAGGTACCAGCTAGGCTCGTCGCCCCTTTGCACCATAGGCTTCAGCTTAGCAATCCCAGCTCGATGATGGCGAAGACCTCTGAGACGTTAACTCCAGTGGCCGCAGCGTGGACTCCCTCCCGAGGTTTGCCAGTGCTCTCCTCACTTTGTCCAAACTCGAAAGAGAACTAAAGTAACTAAAGCTCCACCTGTGGTATTATCTAGGGCATTGCAGGATTCTACAAGATTGAAAAAATTAACCCCTAAAACCTAAACCCCTAAACCCTAAACCCGAAACCCTAAACCCTAAACCTCAAACCATTTAAAGGTTGCCCACTCTACTACCAAGCCTCTGAGCACGGAGTCTGTCCTCCCCATCCGTGGTCTCGCATCGTTCTGTCAAGAATCCTGCGATTGGAAGGGGCTCGTACCCGGATATCATGACTAACCCCTTTTAATGTTTAGGGTTAAGGGTTTAAGGTTTAGGGTTTAGGGTTTAAGGTTTAGGGTTTAGAGTTTGCCTGAACTTCTGCAGGCTTGCTACGAATCCTGCAATGTGGCTTTCCGAGAGGGCGCTGAAACTGCCAAGCACTGCCCGCGCCCGCGCGCGCACAAACTTGTCACCATTGCCCAACAGCAGCGCAGTGGGCGCCACGAGTTCCTTGGGTACTATATGGCATATAGGGGCCTTATGAAGTAGAAAAGGGGTTTAGTTTAGAGTTGTTTATAGGGTTCAGGGTTTATGTTTGTAGAATATGTATCCTGAGGGAGAATGTTGGCAATTATTCACACCTTAGTGCTCCTGAAGGATAGAGGGAATGGGTGTTGGGCGGTAACTGCGGAAGGATGCGGTCGCCTACTCTATAGGGTTTCTAACCTGACTCATTCCACCTCCGATGTTGGACTGCTTTCCGCTGTACGACTGTACGGCCATAAGACATGCCTGGGAAGGAAGGCACCCTTTTACTGACATGGGCATTCTTTACAGTGGCCGTACCTTGAGCTGGAAAGTAGCATTCTAAAAACCTACTAAAGCGAAGGGCTGCGAAACGAAGGCCATGATGTAAAACACTGCAAGGAGGCTGAAGAACCTTAGAATACACCCCCCTTTTACTATCCACCACGGTCTTCGCCCAAGCTCCAGCACGGATTGGGTCTCGCCCTGTGGTACAGTGCGAAGAGCATACATGGCCCGAGCACAAACATGAGGGCAACGGTCTTGAAGTGCAGTCGTCCTCAACAAGAGAGTTTAGGGTTTAGGGTTTAGGGTTTAGGGTCTAGGATTTAGAGCTTGCTTCTACTCTCCCAGGTAGTTGCGTGTTTTGTGCCGACGACATCTATGGTTAGCGGTTAGCATAACCTGGAAAACCTAAACCCTAAACCCTAAACCCTAAGAGCGGCAACTGAGAAGCTGTTTAGAGTTCCAGAACTTGGACCGGCTCAAGTGCAAAGCCTCGGGATCTTGAGCACCTAAATCCCCAGACCCTGTGAGCTCCACAGTCGCAACCCTCTTAGGGTTTAGGGTTTAGGGTTTAGGGCTCGGATTTCAAGGATCACAGTTTTGCAGCGACTGATGTAGCTTCTCAGAAGTTCGCATCTTCACATCCATAAAAAGCTCTGCGGGTTTAGGGTTCAGGGGTTTTGACCATAGGAACAAGTTCTGTAACCTGAACCCCCCAACGCGCATGTTGAGAGTTTAGGTACTCAAAGCCGAAGCAAAACAAACCTAATGCAGAGACCTTCATAATTAGAACGGGGTTTTGGGCTCCTTTATAGTATATTTATAAGGAGGAACCTAAGAAATAATATTGGTAATTATGCACGCCCTTATATTATATACCGTAAGAAGAGGCTCCGTGTAGGTTTTCGTCGCTCTGTTCTCAGAGACAAGACTTCGGCACTACTGCGGTAGCTTCTAGGTCGAAAAATTTTACGGCACCGTCATAAAAATGGACCCGAAAATCCACCCTCCCTGACGATCCAACAGCCATTGACTATAGAGTATACCTTAAATCATATTCCTTAACTAAAGGATATTTGAAGGTCTGGGCAAATTTAGAGAACTACCCATAAACCCTTAACCCCCTAAACCCTAAACCCTAAACCTCCAAAACCCTAAACCCCCTAAACCCTAAACCCTACATCCTAAACGTCCCTAAATCCTAAACCCTAACCCCCCAAGCCCTAAACCCTCAACCCCCCCTTATAAACCCTAAACGTCCCTAAACGCGAAAACCCCTAAACCCTAAACCCCCTAACCCCCAAAACCCTAAACCCTGAACCCCCCGAACCCTAATCCCCCTACACCCTAAACGTCCCTAAATCAAACCCCCTAAACCCCGTGAACCCCCTAAACCCTAAACCCCCTAAACCCTAAACCCCCTAAACCATAAACCCCCTATACCCTAAACCCCCTAAACCAACCCTAAACCCCCTAAACCGTAAACTCTAAACTCTCTAAACCCTAAACCCCCTAAACCCTAAACCCCCTAAACCCTAAACCCCCTCAACCCTAAACTCTAAACTCTCTAAACCCTAAACCCCCTAATAAACCCTAAACCCTAAACTCTCTAAACCCTAAACCCCCTAAACCCTAAACTCTAAACCCTAAACTCTAAACCCCTAAACCCTAAAACCCCTAAACCCTAAACCCTAAACCTCCAAAATCCTGAACCCTCTAAACCCCAAACCGACTTACCAGGTCGGGAGTCAAGGCATCGATGGCTCCCTTGGCCTGCCATAAAGCCCTAAGGGCCCATGTTTCAGGTTTAGGGTTCAGGGTTCAGGGTTTAGGGTTTAGCGTTTAAGGTTTAGGCGCCCTAAACCCGGTTTAGGGTTCAGGGTTTAGGGTTCGGGGTTTAGGGTTTAAGGTTTAGGGTTCAGGGTTTAGGGTTCAGGGTTTAGGGTTTAGGGTTTAAGGTTTAGGCTCCCTAAACCCGGTTTAGGGTTCAGGGTTTAGGGTTTAAGGTTTAGGGATCAGGGTTCAGGGTTTAGGGTTCAGGGTTTAGGGTTCAGGGTTTAGGCTTTAAGGTTTAGGGTTTAAAGTTTAGGGCTTAAGGTTTAGGGTTCAGGGTTCAGGGTTTAGGGTTCAGGGTTTAGGGTTTAGGATTTAGGGTTTAGGGTCCATGTACCTTTTCCTTTCAAAGCCCTTATGAGGCTTACTAAAAGGTTTCGACAAGGGTTTTAGGCTTCAAGGGCCCATGTACCCATATAGTATGTACTTAGGTCCTACAGTACCTGCAGTGGGACTACTTTAAGGACACAGTACATACTATATGAGTATGTGGACACTCAGGGAAAGTTGTTATAGCGGATCTCGAGGGGTTTTCCGAGGGGGGGGGGGGGTTCGATATGAAAAGGTCTCTTATGGGGTTCTAGTTTGAGGAGGTGTAGGGAATCAGGATTCTATTGTTTAGTGGTAGCTGTCTGGGGTTTGCGGATGTAGGATTCAACTAGTATTCTCGGGTTCAGGGACTGACAGTTCCAGGGTTCAGATTGCAAGGTCTAGGGTTCAGGGTCTTCTTCCAGTCTCGGGTGTACAGCTTTAGGCTCTAGGATTTCTCAGACAGGGTTTCGGGTTGCGAACCTGGCTGTTGAGGGCTTTAGGTTGTGGAGTTCAGCGTGCGCAGAGCTCCCTTGCGCTCCAAGAAAAACCCCTAAACCCTAAACCCATAAACCCATAAGCCCTGAATCGACCTAGCAGCACCGTACTTGGAGGGTCGGGGGACGTAGTAAGTAGCTAGGTAATAAGTAGACTTACAAGTACCCTAAAAGGGACTATAGAACCCTTATAGATCCCTTTAAGGATCCCTTTAAGGAAGCCTCGAATCCGAATACAAGCTTCTGTCGTCCTCTTCACAGATTGCCCTGAAATAAACGCATCTCGAAGAACCACTGAGCCTGCGACCTGTCGTTCCCTACACCTCCAGTTGACTCAATAGTGGGCTACTGGGCTATGGACTATATGGATAGTAACCCACTATTGAAGTAACTGGAGCCGTACTTGAAGGGTCGGGGGACTTAGCGAGTAGGCAGCAAGTAGACTCGTCAGTAACCTATAAAAAAGCGATCCTAATTAATTGGGGTTTTGATACTTAGACGTCAAAAAGATAAATACTTACTAAGTCCCCCGACCTTCCAAGTAGGGCTTGCTGTTGAAACGTGTTGAGGCCCCCGTTCTCCGTGCAGCGCTGCCGAGAAAGGGGGCCGCAACACACTTCAAAGAACAAAGGGTTGCGGGATCCGGATTCATAGTTGGTTTAGGATTTTAGGGTTTAGTTTTTACATGGTTTAGGGTTGAAGGGTTTTGGGTTTAGGGGGGTTATTATAGGATATGGGGTTTGGGGTTTCGGGCATTTAAGGGTTCGGGGTTTCTTGTATCGGGTATTTAAGTGTATTCACGGTGTTTTGGGTCTAGGGAAAGAATGGCCCTGGGCACCGTACATATTTTATATATACATATATCTGTATATATCATTATAACATTATATATATATATATATATGTGTACATATATATATATATACATACGTATGTGTGTGTATATATATATATATACATACAGGTATATCTTTTACTGCAGGACCCTCACCTAAGCCAGGTCATTCCATGGGTCCCCTAAGGCTCCACGTGCCATGTACCTAGGCGTACCTACATAGGAACCCCTTCAAGGCCCTAAGTATAGTGTAGGGGCATTAGATAGAATAGGGTTTTGGTGCCCACTATACTACGATTATATTATAATAAAAAACCCCAAACTACTATGGGTAATTATTATAAGGCCCTAAGCATATACTACATGGGTGGAGCCTCGGGGGTCTTGTCTGCGGGAGCTGGGTTCAAGGATCCTAACCTTGAACCCTAAACCCTAAACTCGGACCATGCGAGCTATACTGTCTTCTTGGGGCCTTCAAAACAAGTCTCTCGCTGTGGTTGCCAAGAAGGCTACGAATAAAGCACAGCTGGTGTTGTTTCGTATGTTGCTGCGGTGCCAGTGCTAGGTCACCCCTTTGCAAGTGCAGTCGAATTACGAAGGCATGCAGCACGGGACCATAATTGTAGCAAGAAATAAAAACAGGAGTGTTGCTCCGAAAGCCTAGAGTATATCGGGGTTTCCAACAATAGGGGACCCTAATGTACTACCCTAAATAATAGGATCCTTATTATCAGGACCCCAAAATAAGGTACCCCAATTTCGGAAAATCCCATACCACAGCAGACCTGACCGAGGAAAACCCTCAGCCCCACAACCACAACGCCGAACAACCGAACCCTCTGTTGAACAAGCCCGGAAATCCTACAAGGGATTAAATTATTAAACCCTGAACCCTAGATTATAGAACTCTTACGGCTGCCTACAAGCATCCCTGTAAGGAGCCCTATAGAACCTTAGTACGGAATTCTGAAGTGAAATCCTGAACTGCTCCCGATCCCTGCAACCCAGAAGCTCTAACGAACCCCATGAAAGCCGAGAGCCAAAAACGCTAATATAGGGGGCCTGAACTTTTTGAATAGGGTTTCGGGGCATATTATACGCCCCTATATACAGCCCCCATAAGACCACGCCCCAACACCCCCACAAAGCCACAACAAGCCCGAAAAGTCAAGCCAGCACACCGACTTCGGGCGCAGTGCCGGCAACAGCTGGCCGAAGTAGTCAGCAGCCTTGCATGTTTTGGGGGCTTGGGGTTTAGGGCTTAGGGTTTAGGGTTTGGGGTTTAGGGTCTACGGCTTCGTGGTTACGGTCTGTGGTAACCCGTTTCGCCTGTGCAAACTTCGCCGGGTGTTCACATCATAAGCAGATGCTATTGAAATTTACGTGCCTCTCCATAGCCCTCCCCATGTAAGAACTGAAAGGAAGCCGGAACTAAAGACCTCCCCCTAGACCCGAAACCCCGAAACCTTAAACCTGCACCTGGACATAGACCGCAATGGATGAGAGAAGGATAAGAAATCTATCTCCCCCTAAACCCCAAACCCTAAACTCGGCAGAGGTCCTAGATTTGTGGCCAAGGATTTCTAGGGACTCACGTCGTTGCTGTTCAACATTGTACGGGTTGTATCAAGCTTTAAGAGTCGTGGATGTTTAGGCGGGGTTTTAGTTTGGGGTTTAGGATTTAGGGCTTTTAGGGTTTAGGGTTTCGGGTTTAGGGCTTTTAGGGTCTAGGTCTGTTTGGGGCTTCTTCTTCGTCATCATACATGGGTTTAAGTCTTGATCAGGACTGTGCAAGGATGTTAAGTCTGCGCGTTCAAGGTGTTTTGGCTTGAGTTGGGGACGTAAAACTCAGGGGCACCAGTGCATACGAAAGCTTTCCTTAGTGCTCCTTGCTGTAAGTATGAGAGAAGATACACCGAGTCCTGTTCTCATCATTGGCTCATCCAAAAACCGGCATGAGATCTGAAACATGTGTGTTTAGGGCTAAGTGAAACTCGCAATTGTGACAGTAACCTCATACAAACATCTAGTACACATCTGCATGTGCATCTCTAGAATATGTATATATATATACACACATAAATGCA